TTCATTCTCCTCCCCCAAATCTCGGTGGGTGGGGGGGGAGGGGGGGAGGGAGAGGGGGGGAGGGGGGGGGGGGGAGGGAGAGGGAGGAGGGGGAGGGAGGAGGGGGAGAGGGAAATATCAAAGATAAGTTCTTAAATAGATCAGGACAATAACCTTCTGTCTTTGGGTCAATCAAAGGGCACCACCAAGCCCACAGGATAGGACCCTTATATGATAAGACTGAGTGTGACTTGTCCCCCCACAGGCTACTCTTCTGCACGCTCAGGCTCCAGCTGCTGGTGTGACTCTGGGAGGCTGTGGGGATTCTGAGATGAGGGAGTAGCTGGAAGAGGTGGGTCATGACAGAGGACCTTTGAAAGTTCTTTCCGGCTTCTGGTTCTGCTTCCAACCCTTGCTTCCTGGTCAGCTGAGATGGGAGCGGCCTCTGCCACCTGCTCACAGAGCCATCGACAGAGCTGCGCCCTGTCTAGCCATCCCCGCCATGATGGAACAAATCTGTGAGTCAAGATAGAGCTTTCCTTCCGCCGACTGTCTCTGAAGTAATGAATACGCTCTCCTGTCTCATGTTTCCTGACAGACAGACCCCAGCTTGAGTTCTGTATCTGTCTTTTACTAAAGGCTCGAGATACGTCATTTAGTCGCTGGAAAGCTATGTTAAATGCCTCTGACTTGACTTATGGACTACGCTTCCTACCATGGGCCTGCTAAGGGTGCTGTGAAGAGACAAAGATCCAGCGCCCAGGCCAGGGAGGCAACTCAGTGGGTAAAGTGCCTGCTACTCAAGTGTGCAGATCTGAGTTTAGAACTCCGGGTAAAAAGACCAGGGGTGGTGCCTTTTCGGGGGGTGGCAAGATAGGCAGATTCCCGAAGCCCATTGGCCAGCCAGTCAAACTGGATTGGTGCACCATGGCTGCAGGGAGAGACCATGCCTCCAAAAATAAAGATGAAGAATGACCAAGGAAGACCTCAGGCCTCCACGTGAATGGAATTCACAGGCATACACACTAGTATGGAAGCATGCACACACACACACACACACACACACACACACACACACACAGTACCAACCCCCCACAATACCAACCACATACACACATGCACACACACACACGGAGTACTAACCACACAAACACACACACACACATACATGTGCACACACAGTACCAACACACACACAGTACCAACCACATACACACATGCACATACACACAGAGTACTAACCACACACACACACACACGCACACACACTGTACCAACACGCACACACACACAGTACCAACTACATACACATACACACAGTACCAATCACACGCACAGTACCAACAACATGCACGCATGCACACACACAGTACCAACACGCACACATACACAGTAGCAACTACATACACATACACACACACAGTACCAATCACACACAGAGTACCAACCACACAGACACACACACACACACACACACACACACACACACACACGTGCATGCCACACAGCTCACAGTCCACAGGATTAGACATTTTAATGCACAGGAAGAGCCAGACAGTGCCAGGCCTTCAGAAGGACTCATTCATGATCACTGACGGCACAGCGGGTGGCACACAGGGGCTGGGGGCTGGCCAAGGCTTCCCTCTCTTCAATTTGCACACCTACATCTATGAGCTTGGCTTAGGCATCTGAGTTGTCAGGTGTAGACGCCTGCAGTACCGAGTGACCTGTGTCGGGACTTGACTTTCTCTGCCTATGCAACTGCAGCTCCTTGAACAGCCCTGACGCTGGCTTGCTGGGAAGAGAGACGGGCCTTACAGCCACGGCTCCTTCCCGTTCCCCAGCTTTACCCAGTGGTCAGATCTGATAGCAGTGAGCTGCAGAAGAGGGAGGAAGAATGAATGCATGAGTGTGTGCATCTGTCTGTCCCTCTGTCCGTTTGTCCACCTCTCTGCTTGAGGTATTGTCGGGCAACACGGTAAACTACCGCCACATGTTTTAGATATACATTTTGGGCCTGAAATTAATTTGTTCTTCAAATTCTTGATAAGCAACCTATGTACGGCCGTGGGGATATGGCCGTGGACAGGACCCTGGGGGCTTTGATGTTCATGGCCTTTTAGGGGAGAGAAAGGCACAAAAGGCCAACAGTTACATAGAGTGAGGGGAAGGGGAGATTTGGGGGCTTTCAGGCAGGGGGTACCTAATTCAGACTAAAGGGTGAAAACCTATTTCAGATATCGGTGTTGAGGGTGGGCTGCACCAAGCACCAAGCATACAGCCTTTGCCTGGGAGGGTGGTGGTGGTGGTGGTGAGGGTTCACAGTAGGCAGGAAGAAGCATGCAGAGGCAAACATGCTCCCCACAGGGTGCCAAAGGGCCTCGTGGGGTACCTAGAGAAATCAGGAGAGCCTTCCCAGAGGAGGTAGCTTTATGGCTAAGTAGGAGTGCAGCTGGACAAAGTGGGAGTCTAATGGACGAACCAGAAAGCATAGATGCTGAGCCGAGTGCGCTGCTGGCCTGCCATGGCGGAGCTGAAGCACAGAGCACGGCAGAGGCCTGGAGCCTTGCATCCCGAAGTGACTCTGGGTTGAGGGGGCTGCTGGGACTGTGCCTCCTAAGGGTGCTTAGAGTGTTTGTGGGGGCTTTCTAAGCTAGAGAGCTCCAGGGACGGGCTGGTAAACTTGAGGAAAACGACTCCGTTTTCAGCCCCATCTCCAGGCAAGGCAGCTGGAATTCCAGCTGCTGCGCCTTCTTGAAGGACCCAAGTGAGGGGTGAACAGGAACGGGAGAGGGGAGAGTCTAGCCCTGATGCTAGACATGCCAGACTGCTCCTGGAACTTCAGACGGCGGGGACCACTGAGCAAGCTCGGAGGCGTTCCCCAGATACTGCGGAGGCCCATTTAAAAGATGTTTGATTTTATTCTGCACAGTCCCCGCGTGCTTCCCACACCTTCCTCCTACTTGTTACTGCTGCGTACTGATTACTAGGCTATTTGTAGCACGGGGGCTATTTGCAGAGAAATAGCAGTTTTAGGTTTTAATCCACTTATGGGGATTCTTCTGCTCATGGTTCACAGGGTATAAAGCTCCCCTAGCTGGCATAAGAGGGGACTGATGTGGAGGGAGGCAATCTCCAGCACCAGGGAGCAGAGGCAGAGAGGTATGTTTTATGATGCAGGTTCCTCTGCCAGACGTAACTTCTTCAGTGTTGCATGGGGTGTGTGCTTGCATTTCCAAGGGACGTAGGTTCTCTGTATGGGAGTCTGAGAGTCCATTGTAAGCCGGTGAGAGGACTGCTTGCTGTGCAAAAGGGAGGACTCTGCGTGGCTCAGTGGGGATAGGGCAGAGGAATAGGGGAGGGGGGGTGCCTCGAAGGCAGAGGAGGGGACGGCTTCAAGTGGGATTTTTGCCTTGTTACTTTTTGGGGGGTGTTATTTGTGTGTATATGTGTGTATGTGTGCGTTGTGTGTGCACATGTGTGTTTGCAGTGTATGCGCGTGCATATGTGCACATGTGTGTGCACATGTATGCAAATATGTATGCAGTGTGCACACTGTATATATGCATGTCTTCATGTATGTGTGCATGTGTGTACACGTTTTTTGCAGCGTATGCATGTGCATGTGTGTGCATACGTGTGCATGTGTACACATGAATGCACGTTGATGGTGGGTGAGGTCATTTCTTGGGCTACATCCTATACAGTATGAAGTGGGGAAAGCTAGCTCAGGGCCAGCATGCGTGATTTGTGGAGTCAAACCGTCTTTTTTCCTGAGAGTGTGAAGTGACCAGCTGAGCTCCTGTCCCGGCAACGTCCCTGCTACGATGAAGTCCCCTCTCCTTTAAGTGGTTTTGGTCAGAGTGTTCAATTACTGCAGCAGGGCAAGGCAGTAAGAGACACACATATGCGTATTAATTTGAAGGTATGACCCTGGCTGGCCCCTGTCTTGGGATTCTACTTCGTCCACCTTCCAAGCTCTAGGATTACAGGCTGGCTTCTGAAACAGGAGAGCTTCATCTTCAAATGTGACAGGCATCACTTAGCTTGTGCTTCAGAGGTCTGCTGGGAGGATTCAGCAAGCCCCTGGGTCCAGTCATGGGGTGCGACACTGGTCAACCTACTTAATGGTCCAGAGGGGCCCTTAAGTGGGATTTGTAGATGAGAGAACGGGGGAGAAGGTTACCAGCATGAGGGATGTCATGGAGGGTGGAAAAGGGTTTAGAAGGGTCAGAGAATCTGGACCTTTAAAGCTACCAGGCCCCCAATAGACAGGGCTGTGAGCAGGGCTGGGGTGACACCCACCCCAACTGCCAACTCGCTATTAAGATAACTTAGCTTTGGACACACAGTATCCAAGCCATTCATCCCTGTGACCCCCGTGACTCCTGTGACCCCTATCTAAAGTATAGCTCTTGCCATGTCACAGGTCACACACACATGATCCAAGCCTGCTTCCTCAGGGTACAGGGTCTCTCCTTCCTCTGGGAGCCTTAAAGAACAGACACCCCACTTTGTCTCGAGTCTGAAATTCTCTGCTTCGGACTTTTTCTGTGGCCACTGCTCTTAAACACCCTTTGCCTAAAGGATGACTTGACTCTCTGTCTGTCTGTCTGTCTGTCTGTCTGATGCTAAAACCTACAGAAAACATGAAAGCAGTAGGGTGGCTTCCTAGACTCCTTTATCTCTACCTCCAGGCTCCAAGCTCAGAATTCAGCAGGAAGCGTTTCGTTTCTGTACCACCCATTGCTTGGTATGCCCAGGTTATCCCTAGTAACTTATTAGTAAGCAGTGGCTTGCCCTCTGCCTTTGGGGTCATGTTCTGCCAATCTAAGATGCCATCTGTGGCTGAC